AGATTGCATAGAACAATTATTAAATATATCAATCAACGATTTAAAAATAACATATAACATCAGTAGAAGCCACATTGATGTCAGGGGAACTCAGCGTCAAAAAGTTAAACTTGCTACCCAGTTACTTTCAAATACAGTGAGCTCTGCTCTTTCTTATTGTGGCCATAACAATTTAATTGTCGGAAACTGGGCTGGTATGGCATATTTCATTAAATTATGTAACGATTCGTTCGACTTAAACAATGTCAGACAAAAATTTGACTGCAATGCAAAACCATTTGACATAGATTTAGACCAACATACTATTAAATTAAATGAATTTTCAGAATTTGTTAACTTCGTGTCTGTTGGAAAACACTCGAGTTTTCTACCTTTTCAAAAAGGTATTATAATATCCAATAAATTAGAAAGTCTATTCCAATTTGTAAAAACTAAGTATAATATAGAATATATTTTAACTTACAGGCTTAATCGAGACATTTTAGAGCATTTCTTCTCTGCTATTAGGGCAATGGGAGATGGGTACATACATCCATCTCCATCAGAATTTCAATACCGCCTTAAGTGGTTCTTTCTGGGCAGAAACCCTCACACAATAACGGCTGTCACACCTCAACCATCTCCTAGTAAAGATTTTAACATAAAAGATCAAAAAGAAAACACAAATTTGATAAGTGCAGAAATGCTTGCGTCATTACAAATAGATTTTGAGGATAGTGAAGATTTTGACTTGCAATTAGCTGAACAATCACAGGAAGATTATAATGAAAATATTGATACAACAAATTGAGAAAATTATGAACTGTATAAGTTAAAGACTTTTTTGGTTCAGAATTATGAAGCTTGAAAACATATTCAAAATAATGGTCTTTTATATATAGCAGGGTATGTGGCTCATCGATTTCGTAACAAGTATCCAACTCTGGAATCTACAACGCAAAGTATGCCACAATTGGATACAGCTGCAGATTGAATTTCATTTATTTCGCGTGGCGACTTATTGTATCCTTCATATAAACTCAACAATATAGTTAAATTCATGGAATTATGCTTCACAAAGTTTCATGGCAAAAATTCGAATCACGAAGGAGCAATCTTTGAGTCATTAATTAAAATCATCAAGATAAAGATAACTTCCTGTAATATTAAAGATTAAGTTCTACGTACTCTTGTTCGTACTAAAACATATATAAGGTTGCGAGAATTGAATGAGAAAATCAGAGGCTTCAAGTAGTTACAATGAAGCCTTTAAACTTTCAAAATTTGTTAAATAAAGGCCTCTACGAGCCAGAACTTTTAATTTGTTTTGATATGTCCCTTCTGTGAATCAAATCCTTATTTTAACTTTTTTTCATATAACATGTAGAGTCAACTTAAAACCACAGCTCTCGGACAGTGCATCCATGCTCCTCAGTCAGTTTTGCAGCTAAGATTATTTGTGTATTTAAATCATATAGTATAATTGTACATATGTATTTATGCATTTGACACACATTATTATTACAACAGATCATTTGTATGTTTTATATGATTAACAACCAACTAATATTTTTTTAAGACCAGCCCATAGAAGGATGTGATATGTAAATATTATAATTTTAATTAATGAATTTTAGGAACTGATGACCCCACATATATTGAATCAAGAGTCGCAAAGTTTTACAGATAGTAATTGATCAATCTGAAGTAGATATAGATATTACAGTTTTGAAAATAACATAATGTAAATTTTTCTTTGCATTAAAACACAACATTTGATTACAAGTTTCTTACAGTCATAAAGTAAATACAAAAGGGTTTAAATTTTTCAATTACATTTCAGTTCTGCTTCGTGTAATTGCATAATGAATCAAGTTTGTCAATTTTTCATAATAGACTTTCAAATAAATTTTTTTTTTGTAAAACGCTATCACCAATGATGAATATAATGTGTAATACTTTGAATGACTTCCAAGGTTTCAGGTTTAAATAAAAATTCTGTCCACTTACAGATCACTTACAGATGTTGTTATACGATCTATCCGTGTTTCTTCATCATGAATTCAATATCTCCTTGAAAGAGTAAACCATTCTATTTAATAATGGAAACTAAAATGTATAAAAATATAAATGAAATTACTATAAACATACCAAATCAATAAAAATCTAAATGTCTTCTATAATTCATACTTACCATTATATTCTAGGATTGATCCAGATTAAACAGGGATATAGATGTTATATTGAATTAATATAATTTTTATCAATGACTTTCAGAAACCTGTGAGCTTGCACAAGAGAAGATTCAATTCTGAAACACTCAATCACCTGTGAAACAATTTGCAATACGAAAGAACATAAATATTACATACAATAGAGAAAACACAATCGAATGATAAATTACCACAGGTAATAAGTATATTAACACGTTGAGCGCCACGCTGAATTTTAAGGAAGTCCCCGCCAGGCCACGCGCGCCTCTTAAAAGCGCTGACATTGTATGGCCAATGTTTCTTATCGCAGTAGAACAACACAAACTCCAAAGAAAACCGGGAAAAGTCTCTGAAGTAAGAAAATATGGTAAATTATGTTATGATAAAAATGTAACAAAAGATGGTAGAGTAATGGCCAGGAAAAAGACTAAGCGAGTTGTCACATTTTGTAATACCTGTCAAGGAGAACCGTTTTTATGTTTACCGTGTTTTAATGAAATCCATTAATCCTGTAATGAGTCAAAATTAAGTGGAATTTCAAATAAATTTACTGTAATTCCATAAAACAGTGTGAACTTTATAGTTCTATATCATGTTACACGCTGTCAACCAGCGGTGGTTTACGCGGCCTAAACGGAAAGTCTAGTTTCAGCCACCGATGGCTGACGTGGCGCTCAACGTGTTAATAAAAATGGATTATATTTATAAATAATTATATTTCTTTTATTCCTACCATTTAACAGACTGGGTATCTGCTCTTGTAATTCCTATGCCCTAAAATATAAAAAATTTGAAATTTTGGTATAAATTGAATAGTTCTTATTTTATTACTGGGTGTTCCAATTGTATTACGCACTTGTATTACATACTTTTCCGGCAACAACACGCGCGTTACGTAATGCACGCGCAACGAGTAGAAACAGTAATATTTATAAAATCAGCAGACGAGTGGCCTAGTGTCCGACTCGTCGGCCTCACAATATTTACAATTTCTAGCATCTAAGGAATTTATCGCCAGGAGAAAAAGTACCACTGCGCGGCGGTTACGATACACGACATACGACCGGAACGATTACGCGTAGCGTGGACTGAATAGGTAGGGGTTGCATGCAATTTCTTGTAACATGCTCTACGAATAATCAAACATAAAACTAAAAACGAAACTATGATACGAGATAACGGATCCTCCAGATCACCACCGTATTAGCAAGCATCGGATCCCAACGATCGTGCAAGCGGAAGGCGACGCGTGCTGTCTGGATCAAAGATCCAGCAGCTAAATCTATGATCACGTTAATCCCGATCAATTACAAAATCATTAAACCTCGGGAGCGTCACTTACCCCGAATAGCTCTCTCCAGATCGTCTAACTCTTGTCTGTCCATATTCCTTTTCTCTCTGGCTCTTTCCCTCACTCACTTTACTCTTACTTTCCAAGAACACTTTTGGTACATACGTTCACTAAGTTCGCTACACGGCAAGTGACGCTACCCGATCGCTCGCCCGCTAACGTGCCCTAGTGGCGC